TCTCACATACCATTTACCTTTACAACAAGAAATTTGATTGGCTGTTTATAGTAGATCCAATCTGATTGGTGTGACATACATACATCACTCACTCACTCATTCACTCACTCACTCACGCACGCACGCACGCACTCACTCACTCACTCACGCACTCACGCACTCACTCACCCATTGACCTGTCCATAACATACCCGACGTGCCAACTAAGAGGTATTTTTTTTACAAAAAAATAACTCAAAAATTGAGGCTAAATTTTTCAATATGCACAAACCGTGACGTAGCTCCTTTAAAGTGAAAGTTTGGGCAAATGAGAAATGCTGTGGGAGCATGAGCCAACAGGCGAGTGTATCCACACCTTTTTCAAGTTCTCCCAAACTTTCAGAAGTGCTCCTACAACTCAATAGAAACCCAGAGAACATGCTTTATATTTCTTTTAGAAAATACTGCTACAAAAAAAAGGAAAACAACTTGTTTACTTCAATCATCAAAATGTAAATTGCCTTTGCTCACACCATGATCATGTCAACAGCTTGTGCTGGTTTTGAGTTTTAAACCGATCAGTGCATGTATTTCCTTTGGGTTATTTTCTAAAATAATATTATTTATTATAATAATATAATCATGACCAGAATGACAACTAGACTACAATAATATTATTGGCAAGTAGCTAGGTAGTCCAAAATACCACAGAACACCAAAAGGAGACTGAGGGGTGTTGTGTTGGTTTTACTATTTTTGAATAACTTGTGGCAAGTCTTATACCTACCTCTATCCACTCTTTCATCTGGACACCTCAGTCCACTGAATGGTGGTAACTTCCACAAATCACTAAACTACAACAAAAAGACTGAGTCTGCAATATCCTCAAGTAATCAATACTTTTTGTTTGGATGATAACTGTACGTGCAAATCCATTCAGTAACAATCTCATGCCAAATCTAACTCAATATTATTTTCTCCTGCTGTTGGAAAACTGAAACTAGTTAAAATACTTCAAGTGCCTAAGTGCAGTGCATAAAGATGAAATTGATGATTACAGTAAGTATGTATACATGTATGCCATCCCGAACATGTGAATTTGGTTGGTTATTTATTTTATTGCTGATCACCTTTCAAAACAAATTTTAGCCTGAAACGAAATGATTTAATATGTAATATATCAAACATGAAAGACCGTGTTGGACCACATTATCAAACACCAAGAAGATTGTTGAAAATATGGTACGCAGCAAAGTATTTTTAACAAACCTAGAGGTGTTTAGAAATGTGGTCAAACATTGTCTTGAGTGTTTGATATATCTTTGCAATTTGAAACTAAAACTAAGGAGAAAAGAGAAAAACTAAAATCATTAAAAATGTATGCTAATTAAGGTCAGATATCCAAGCAATGTCATGGTCATGATTTACTTTATTTAAACTTGATGAAGTAATAATGAGTTTGAGAAATACCTATCCAACTTGGTAACTACAAAATAATTTTTATCATTTCAAAACTATAGATTTCATGGAGTTGTTTGGTGGTAAGACCAGTTTCTACGAGCCAACACTGCTGGCACGTGCTGGATTGAATTAGGCAGAACGAGAGCAAAATAGCGCCACAAAACAGTGAAAAACAAAGCTTGGGGAAGTCACTGCGAGACTTAATGTGCCAGTTCAATCAAATTTTCCGAATACCTTTGGAGCAAGTACCAAAATAGATTTCATGGAGTTGTCTGGTGGTAAGACCTTTCTATAAGGGCTTGTTGTATCTCAAGTAAACTTAGTTAATGTTTGGCACTTTCCTTGAATCTTAATTTTATACTAATGATGCAGTTCCTAGAGAGGAATATGTTCGAATGTTTGTTACTGACGAACACAGAAGAAACACACAATAATAAATGGTGTAAAGGGGGTATCATCACTCTGTGATCAGTGTGACAGTCAAACTTCCATTGCATGACCAAAGCCTAACTTACCTCCCCAGCAGTAAAACCTGCGCTGGATTGCACAAGTTGGCAAAAGGACAAAGTCTAACTCTAAATGGCACTATGAGCTGAAACCTTGGGCCAGTATCATGCTAGAGTGTGGACATTTGTGGCTTGCTCAAGCCTACTATATTGCTTTACTACGAGCCAACACTGCCGGCACATGCTGGATTGAATTAGGCAGAATGAGAGCAAAATAGCGCCACAAAATAGCGAAAAACAAAGCTTGGGGAAGTCACTGCAAGACTTAATGTGCCAGTTCGATCAAATTTTCCAAATACCGTTGGAGCAGGTATCAAAACAGATTTCATGGAGTTGTCTTGTGGTAAGACCTTTCTATAAGGACTTGTTGCATCTCAAGTAAACTTCTTAATGTTTGGTTCTTTCCTTGAACCATAAATCTTATATTAATTTATTAAGTCTAAAATTGTCTGAGCAATATTAAATGTGATACTGGTCAGAAATTCCACAAATTTTCTGGCTCCATCCTGAAAGCAATTTGGTAAGTAAGTACTTGCAAAACAAAATTCAGTTTTGTGTGACAAATAGTTAAACCATGGATCATTATTTATAACAGCAGTAATTTAACTCACCAGTGAAAATGGGGGAAACAAAGGAAAGCCTTCTGACTTGTTATCATCCTGCTAAACAAGTAGATATAATAAAATTACAAAATATATCATTTATCATCTGTCTAAAGAAACAGTAAACAATAAAAGTAGTCGTAGCAGTCATCGTATTTGTTGTTGCAGTAATCGTTGTAGTTGTCGTTGTCGCTGTCCTGGTGGTAGTGATAATGGTGGTGGCAGTGGCAGTGGCAGTGGTAGTAGTAGTAGTTGTAATAATAACTGAAGGATTTCGTGCAAAAAGGGCGTATATCGCCCCAAATGCGATATACATGTACGTCCTTTTTGCACAAAATCTTATAATTATAATAGCCTTTATTAAAAGATTAGATACAGCATACATGTACATGTGACTTTACAATCAATAATGAACTAAGCTAAAAACCAATCACATATATTACAAAATTACAAACCTATGGAAAAATTAAAACTTAGAACGATATACAGAAATAGATCTAAAAAGACATCTATTTACTTAAGCACATTTAAATCTTTCAGTTTTCACTCTATGGAGTATAAAGTCATGGCCCCAGTCTCCAAGAGTCCTGCTAAGCTTAAACATGGAGCGATCCTATAAAAGGCAAGAACACACCACCTTTGAAGCACTTTGTTGGCTTTTTTGTGCAATGGCAGAAAGTCGAAATAATGGTTGCATAACATAGAAGTTGTGGAGAAATAGCGTTTTTTTCATTAAAAAAATGGAGTCATTTACGTAGAATAATATAAGGTGGATAATAAAAATACAGCGAAAATAAAACTTATATTTATTTAACACTTTAGAAGATGCCTTTGGAAGAACAAAAACGATGAATTATCTTTGTCACTTCGCGGAACATTCAAATTTTGCCGCTAACTAAAATAACAAAGCTGATGCCTGCGATCAACGAGCTATCTGTTTCCATTTATCTCAGCATGCCGAGAATGAAAACAAATCTCGTAAGAGGTGACTTTGGTTAGCCTGTGAACACAGATGGATTTTGGTGGGATATTTAAAATTATTCAGATTTATGAGCGATAATTCTATGGTGCAAACAAAATGCAAATTGAACAATGCTGAAACAAAAAGTACCACGAAGAAACAAGAGAATTTCAAAAATGGCAAAGTGAGATTTCGCCTGAATATTGACGTTAGAAAGGAGAAGGAAGACTCATGGGTGAATGCAATAAAAACAAAAATTGCGTTCGTAAAAGGCCAACTGAATTTTAGTAGCAAGAGTACAACAGCAGCCAATGTTGACCGTATGGAATCTCTGTTAGATAACTGGCTGAAGAACATAACGATATTACCATAGAATTAAAAAGTCAATTTTCTTTGTAAACTCTTCTCTTGAAGCCATCTTTCATTTAGTTCAAAAGGCATCGTTTACTTGTAAAATAAAACAGAAAATTACACCCATTGCTCTCCAGAATTTTGTGGCAACGCGCTAAAATAAGACCGGAGTGAATAAGCCAATCAAATGGGAGCATTGGTCGTCTATTGGGATTTCTGATTGGCAGGCTGAACACCTCAGCCTTGTTATATAGGATTGCTCCGTGTTTAAGAAGCTTGTACAGTATTGTGCAAAAGTAATGCAAATGATAATTGACGAATATCGCAATAATTGCAATTTGAACGACAATTAGTTTGAAACATTATATTGTGCAAGATATTGCGGAGCTATTGTTGTAGCTGTTATGATATTTCTCTGAGTCCTGTGCGATTTATCATTTGCACTGAGCAATATATCCTTTGAACCGAGTGATATATCGTTTACATTGAGTGATGTATCGCTTCCACCAAGCGATTTGTTTGCTCTGAGTGATTTATCGTTTTCACCAAGCGATGAATTGTTTTCACCCAACAAAATATTGATGCAGCCTAGCGATTAATCGTTTTTGCCCAGCGAATAGGCCATTTCCAAGTTGCCTTTTGCCTGTGTCAAAACGAGTCTTTGTGCAAAACCATTTAATATATGAAAATTCATTCCCCTAGAGGTTCATTTTCATGCAAATCAAACTCAGTTTCATGAAAGGTTTTGCGCAAGAACTTGTTTTGAAACAGAGGTACAAGGTAACTTGGAACCTGCGAATTATCGTTGCAGCTTAGCGATATATCGCTTCTGACAGCAACCGGTCGTTTTGCCAACATGTAAGTTCGCCAATGTATGAAGTCTATTCGCCAAAGTCCTGGATCAGTTTGCCAATGCAAAAATAACTAAACTTCAGTGGTGCACTACACTAAAGAGATTTTAATGACAATTTTTTGTCAAGGAATGTGTTTCACCATTTGAACAAATGATTTGTGGAGATATCATTTTTTCAATGTGAATCTTCAGAACGCTTCAGACAATAAACATTTCACGAGCAACTTGAGGATGCATACCAAAACACAGAACTTTCCTTGAATAAAAAAATAACTAAACCTGAGCGACACGCTAAAGAAACTTTGATGAACAATTATTTTGTCAAGAAAAAGAGTATTTTACTGCATTTGAATGACTGATTTGTGTCATATAAAACATTTTTTTGACGAGGATCTTCGGAACGCTGCAGAGAATAAACATTTCGCAAGCGACTTGACGATGTGTGCTGAAACACATAACTTTCCTTCCAAAAGCATAAACTAAACGCAAGCGACGCACTGTAGAAACGTTGATAAACAATTATTTTGTCAAGGAAAGAGTATTTTACCATTTGAATGACCGATTTGTGTCCAATAAAACCGGACATATAATTTTTTTGAAAGTTTGACAATGGCATCGCACTTGTTTCTTGACAAATTATCTTTACCTCAGAAATAATTTATGCTTTTCAGCATGTTTGTTAAAAGCAATTCACACGAGGCTTTCTTGGTTTTACTTAAACAGATCGGTAACATAGCTTACAATTTCCTTTATTTAACTCACTCTGGCTTCGAATTAGGCAACGCCGGACAAGGGTCACTAGTTTTACTATATTCCAGTCATTTGTCAACAGTGTAAGATATCTTACGAAGGTCTCAACATTTTATCTATTGCTTTGATTCGTTGAACAAAAACTCTCTTTAAAATATCCTAAGATAAATCGCTGTGGCAATATTTCGCTGGAATGATATCTTGTGATGATGCATCTCTCACTCAACGATATAATTATTGTTATGGCAATAGTGATATATCGTAATGAATCCGTCACGCGCTGTATGATATATCGCTGCAGCAATATTTCGCAAGAACGATATATTGGCGAGATATGGAAGGGAAGCTCCAATATATCATTGAATCATTGTTGCATTGCATCGCTTATATGTGCGATATATCCCTGAGATATCATTCATTTATCGGCAATACATCACAGAACAAAGCACGATATTCAACAATTATCGTTTACATTCCTTTTTCACACACACTGTATACCATACAATTTGTTTACAGATTTACAGAAAGGAGATAATTTAGGTGTTTTCACCTAAATTAAGTGAGTTATTTTATTTTATGGCATGTGCATTGCATAATTATTTAGTTTGGGGATAACGGATTTACAGTGTAGTAGTAAATCTATACCATGATTGCCATCAAAATTTTAAACTGCTGCACTCCCTCCCCTTTCTATGGAAATATTCCAAAAATGCTCTAACCTCTTATACCTTCAGAATTTTATCATAATAATAAAACTCCAAGGTGCAAACCATACATGTAGCATGGATATTTTCAAAAATCACCCAAATTAGGTTAGCAAAACTTGGACTGAAAGAAGGCTTGTCTGAATAAACTGGTAATGCAGTGCATGCAGGTCATAGCAGTTAACATTGTGGATGTACTGTACATACACTAGTTATTATTCACTAATGTCTAAGGAAAAGTGACCTAGTAGTTCTTTCATAGAAAATACCTCATCTTTAAAGTTTTCACTGTCCAGGGATGAATCAGGCCCTTTCAGCATTCTCTCCCTAAGAGATCCAGAGTCTTTAGGGAAGTTTTCTTCTGACATTTCAGATGGTAAATTATCAGGTAGTAAGTCTATGGTAGGGAGGTCTGGTTATTGAGAGGAAAGTAAACTCAACATAGTGTCTAGACTGTTAGTAGTGTAATATTATAAACCTTTTCATTTCTCTCACCTGCATTACAAAATAATTCAACAGGGATACAAGGTAATTTTGGGAAGAAACTTCAAAGCTGCCAGAAATTGTCTCACATTCACATTGGACTACCGATATATTATGATATTATAAATTATCCAATTACATGTAAATTAATAATATTATCACAGAAGATTACATGTATCTTATCATGGGAGAAAAGAGTTTTTTCTTGAGACATATTTGTTACAAAACATGTGCTGGGAGTCAGTAACTTTCTGTTAAATCTGTGAATTCAATACAGCTCACAACAAGTAAGATTCTCGCAGGATCAGTTAGGACTAATAACAAACTATGACAAACTTGTATGAACCCTTCCAAAAATCCATATTGATGATAATAAGTGCTATATAGAGATCTGTCTATTTTCACCCTGGTTGATTGATTGCACCAACACATGCCATTTACTTAGGTTTTAACAGAATATCAAGTTAAGTGGACCTTGGGCTGGTGGGTTGAAATCAAATTGAAATCCTCTGAAGATGTTATGAAACATCTGTTCAAACTCTTGAAGAAAATCTCCCTCTCTTGAGTGAAAATAGTCTTCATGATCTCCTAGCTCTAGAGGCTGGTCATTAAATAATCTCCATTCCTCACGGATTGCTGGAAGTTCTGGCTGCCAATAATTCAGATCTTGTCTCCTTCCATAGAGGTTCTCCAGATCCTCTTGAATATCTCTATAGTGTGGACAGTCATGCAGTCAAGTATTAGCAATGTATTATGTGCTGATTTGTTAAGCTGACAGCGCATGCAACTTCATGTTTCTTTCCATAGAGTGAGAATAATTTAAGCAGAGTTTTTCCTTCCTATATGGATTATGGGAAATGCTCCACACAAAAACTCTAAAAATTGAATCAAGGGAAGCCACAATGGAGTTCAATAACATTAATAGCCTTAATTAATTCTGCTGGGATTCTGCTGGGATTCTGCTGGGATTAGTCAAATGACAGCATTATGCGAGCAGTCTGTTAAATGGCAAACAGCCAATAATGTGTAACAATTATTGTTTTTAATAAGCAAAACAATGACAAGAAATGGGAAAGTTTGCCTGTAGATCTGGAACTGGTTGTTCAGAAGAGGGTCAAGCCCTAACCTAAGGCCTTCCAAGGAGTAAAAATGACAAGCAACACGACCCTGAAAACCAGGTGACATGGGAATTTCTAATCTGTGACAAGTGAAGCAAATTTAAACAGCAACACAAGAAACACTGGAGAAGACAGCAACATTGACTCTTTTGGACATTTTGCCTATTTAGAAATTGTAGGGTACATTCTCTTATACATTCTGTAAATGTCAGAAACATGACTGTGTGCTTTTCCATTGAATGAATTCTAAAAAATCAACTTTGTAACAACAGCGACATATGACTTTATAAGAAAAACAATGGTGACATTTTTTTCTGCTGGTTAGGCATCATCGGTACACAAAAGGATGCGACATGGCGGCACGTTTACCCACAGGTCACCCAAGCATAGTATAAGAGTTTGTATGGAACACTATGGCTAAAATATAAGCGTTTGTGCAGAGGTTAGAAGATGAACCATACATTGAAATCGAGCAATGTATGGGTCATCCTCTAACCTCCATACAAACTCTTATATTTCAGCCACAGTTCTTCATAAAAACTCTTATATTATGTTTGGGTAACCTGTGGGCTACCCTCAATGGAAGGCCTCATAAATCTAATCAGCTTGGGGTTAAATTTTAACCATGGGTTAATTTTATTGTTCGAAGATATAGTTTCATTCAACCACAGGGGATCCAAACACTACATCAGCAGTAAAAATAAATGTACTGTTATTAACTTGTGTTCCTGTGTCTTTTTTAGCTGTTAAGAGGGGATTTGAATGAAGTGAAGGTGGTTTACATTTCAAATACTATCTTGTCTGCCACTTTGTCATTTATGATGCTACGTCTCAAGTTTCCATTGCCGTCATTAACTATTAACTCTCATTGGGGGAGAGAAAGAAGAAAAGAGACAAGGGATGAAACCAAAATGAGGCCAGTTTTATTTTGGTGCCTAATTCTCTTGTTGCTGAACATCATCAGTTAGAATTTCACATCTTGATGGATTAAACAATTTGTATTCAGGTGAAGCTGAATTTGTTTATTTGGGTACCTTTTCTTCAGTTAATTTTCGAGTTGTTTTTAGACGTAGCTTTTTGTCCGAACTGTGATTACACTTGACTTGACTGGAAGCAGTTTTAAATTTTTGAGCATGTGCTTCATGAAAGGAGTCCTATTCTTCTCTTGACAGACTCTTTTGTTTACCTTTAACAGCTGCGTGCATTAGAAGTAAAAAACAGAACACACCACGCAAACTACCTGGTTTTCACGTGAGATAAATTCAACAACGAAATGGAAAAACATTCACTATTTGGTTCACTGATTTACTTTTCAATAACCGCGGCCGGGAGCTGTGAAAACATAGGGATTCCCTGGCCAAAATATGTTCATGTTGTGTGCAAAAATTTTGTTAACTGGAAACTTGGAAAACAACCGAGCAAAGAACCAAAACAGAAACAAGAAAAATATAAGCCAGCTAACCAGTAAACAACGTTGAAATTACTTGGTTCTGTTGCTGAAGGATTTGCGTGGAAATTGCAGTCAAGGCAAGGGCGCTGTCCATTGTCTTGTGTTTACACTCACATATCCACGCAAGGACCCACACAGGCTAGTCACGTCAACTGTAGTCACAGACTAGACAGAAGCTCTCAGTAAGTTTCACTCCTTGTCTCTTTTCTCTTGTAATGCAGGGCTGCTCCCCCGATGAGAGTTAATAGTTAATGATGATAATGGAAACTTGAGATGTAATCAGAACGTCACATTTACAAAGCAGCAGACAACATAATATTTGAAATGTAAACCGCCTTCACTTCATTCAAATCCCTTCTAAATGACTGAAAAAGACACACAGGAACACAGGTAAATAACACTACATTTATTTTTACCGCTGATGTAGTGTTTGTGTCCCCTGTGATACAACCCCTGGTTTAAATTCCTTGTTAGGTGGGTTAACTCACTAACCTTGAGTTAAATGAAAGGAAATTGAAGCAAAATGGTGAGGATGATTTTCAGTAAATAAGTTTAATATACAGCCAAGGTAACAAAAGCTGTGGAAATGTTGCACATATTTCCTCAAAATTCTGTCATGATCAATGATTGTAAACATAAAAAAGAAGTAACGTTTCGTAGTTTAAACTGTGTAATCTCTGGAAACGGAGGCTTTCCTGTTTTCGTTTTCCTTACATAAAAAATACGCAAATATAAAAAGCTAAATCTAAAGCTTATTAATAGATAACTCTTGAAGTCAACCTCTCACTTTAACATATCTTCTTACCTTGGCAAATCGTTGGTGCCAAGTTGTTCTTTTGGAGCCCCAAATAAAGATCTAAAAATGTCGGTTAATTTAACCATCACCTTACTGAAACGAAGCTAGTTCTGCGCATTAGCTAGGAGTACTTAGAAAATGTCGTCATCGTGTTTGTGGTTACGAGGAAGAGCGAAGGACTGGGAAGGTTGTACTTAGATCTCCTCGACCGGTTTGCGCCCGCGATAAAAGAGTGAGTCGATACCAAGATGGCGTCCGGTCCACCTAGTCCAAAATCTCCTAAGAAACCGCAAACATCTCCTTTGTCGCCACGTCAAAGGCATTCTCAATCAAGTTAGTTGACCAAATTTTTAAGTTTAATTCTTTTCCTCGCACATAACGTTTGTTATTCTTTGTCAATTAGTTGCTTGGGATGCTGAAATGGACAGCGATGTACTCTTTTCAAGTCACACTGTTGAAGAGATCCGAGCTGTGGAACACAAAACAAGGTTATTACGTGACAGCATTAAAGTGTTGAACACATTTGTAGTATACTAGTCAATAATTAGAAGTCACGATGGGACATATTTGGCCAGGAAGCACGAAGGTTAACACCTGAGATCTATTATTCGGTGTAGTCCGATATAGTTGATCGACACCCCTCAGTTGAGGGCTTGGGGTAGATAGTCTCAGTTTGATCAATCTTTACATCGCCCAAAAGCCATGCGTCATTGGAGTTTAAAATTACTGCTTCCAGGTTAGACACATCTTTGGTGTTACCCCCTCTAAATATTGTTATTGTTATTATTTTCAATGAAAGTTAGTGAGATTAATAAATAGCATTTGCACATTGTCGGATGTCACTGTCAAGTAAATGTGTAGGTTTGTTTTTGCTAATTTTTGTGTTGAAGGTATTCCCTCAAGCTTTACTTATTTGATTGTTATTGTTATTGTTATTATTATTATTATTATTATTATTATTATTATTGTCATTGTTAAGGCTTTGAATTCGTAGCAGCATGAGATAAGATATTGCATATCCTTAATTATTCTTGTTAATATCTCACTTTGTTATACTATTTATTGCATATTTTCATTTATTTCTCACTGTGCAACTGACGATGGATGATGTCTTATCCGAAGCATGTATTGTCTTCATTAAAAAAAGAACTTCAAAAACATTGTGTGGCTCATCAAAGCGATATTATTATTATTATTGTTATTGTTATTGTTGTTGTTGTTGTTATTATTATTATTATTATTATTAGCGATAGTAATTGGACTGAGTGGAGTACAATTTAGGGAGTCATTGCATAAGCAATTTCAAAATTGGGAGAGCACAAAGCACAGGGCTGATTTAAAGTTATGAGCATGATTACTCTCTGAATTGTACGACACAAGGTCTAATTACAAATCAATCGTATCTATAACAAATTTTGAAATTAAAAAGTCTTTAGAGAACTCCTTTTGAGCAAAAATGTCAGTAGCACTTTCCATAAGTTTAAAAACCTGTAGGAAACATTAAGAAGGTAGCCATTAAAGCACACGTAATTGGATACCAAAGTGATAAAACAATAAAATCATGTTAGTAATAAATAAGTCATGGGCGTCGGCAAGTTAATTACATGAATTTGCTCGTGCATCTCTTGATTACATTGAAGTGTGCTAAGAAATTGTTCGGAACAGCAGTGTTGTATTCATTGGAATAATGCTTGTAAACAGATGATGCCTTTTGACGGTGTCCCTCAACGTGTGTGTGAAGGTGGCCCTTTGTGTACCTGGGTACGAATTTAACTGCCTTGTTAATGAAATGCTGTGTATTCAAGATCTTAAACCAGCACTGAATGTACAGTCTGATTCTCTTCGTGCTATTCATGTAATTAACTTAGCACTGTTATGCAAATTCACTTCAGCTTAGCCTCCTCACAAACCGCTTTTTATCATTAATTGTGTAACCTTGATAATGGTGCAAGATGCACTGAAATGTCGGTTTCTATCACTTATTTTTCTTGTCTCGTGTATTTCTAAATTGATTCTTATTATTATAATTATCATTATGATCATCATCATCATCATCATTATTATTATTATTATTATTATTGTTGTTAAGAGGATCTACACTCAATCTAATTAATTTTATTCTTAGGGGTGATATTGAAAGAAAAAAAGAAGATCTACGCATCATGGTTGGGTAGGCATACAGATTATAAGCTTCCTTCATACACTGTATACTGTACTGAAGTTCTTGAACATGTAATTGCGAAGGAACACAAACTTGCAGAAATTGATTGAGATAGGTAGCGATGAGGGTAACTTGCAAATTCTGAAAACAGCTGACGTCTTTCATTTTACAAGGAAACTTGATTTCTTGCAAATATTTTTAAGGCTGGTTTTCACTTGTGCACAAGCACAAGCATAAGTATAAATAACACACACAGATGCTGTAAGGTGCTGTTCAAGATGTTAGCGCCATTGTTTCTTCATATCCTTACTGTGCACGTAATTTTTGTCTCAATGTCTCATCACATCATCCATCAAGCATGTTCACTAAAGGAGAAACGTATTAAGCCAATATTGGGCTTGGTACTGGTTGTGTTAACTTCACCTGCAGTTTACTCTCTTACTCCCTTTTCTTTTCATATGTCACTTCCTTTACTGATTTTCTCTATTTTTAATTAACAAAAATAAAAAAAAATTGGTAAGTGAGAAGTTACAACTATTTTGCCTTTTCTGCTCTTGTGCCACCAAAGTCTTCTTTGAAATTATATGGATGGGGAAGACTATTATGCATTCTATTTTGAGGCTTATTCTTCCTGAAGGAATGACATCAGCTGTAAAAGTTTACTTAATCGGCTTAGTTATGGTTGAATTGAGTAGTTTTGCTGAGTGTACTTTAAAAGTATTTAACCTACATGTATAACTTTGCCTTGCTTTTTCAGAGAAAGATACCGTGACCTTATTGATGCTGCTGATACTGTTACAGATATGAAGACTTGTGCTGGTCAGGTATTTAAGTGTATAAAACTATGCTCACTGATGTTAGAGGAAAAGTACTTCATTTTAAAGTTCATCAATAAACTGAGCAGTGCCTTCTAAAGTTTGCTCCACTATGAACTGGGGAATTTATTAGATTATAGTCTAGGGTTTTCACCATTTAAGCATTCCTTCTAAATTCAAGAATTGGTTCATGCTTAACTTGCATGTTTGGAGGTAAGATGTATGTAATAGTTTGGGGAGAGTACTCCCTAAACTCACAAGTACATGGACAACTCAGTCAACTCACAGCTAACAGCATGATTCAGTTCTTTTATATGTATTTCACATAATAAGAGGAACCACAAAAATTTTCTCTGTAATTTTGAATGTGCCCAGAGCAAGCAAAAAATTATGGTGATAGCATTTGCATTCTTCATTTTACATAGCACAGATAAGGTGCATCTATCAAGTTACAGGTGTAATGCTGTACAGTTCAAATTTGAATCATTTTGTTGTGTGGGTGAAGCTCACAATAAATTGGCAGCTGAGAAGTGTGTTGGTCTACAAAAGTCACCTGATCGAAAGGAATTGCACTAAGATGACGGGGCACTAGTTTAGAGCCTGTAGATGAGAAGATTGGGTGCTAGTTGGCCTGTTTGTGTGGATTTTCTGCCTCCTTCATGTTATCCTTGCTTTTGTGTACCATTTATCGGTTTCGAGAGTTTTCAGCTTTCAATTGCCAAGGTAAGTTATTTTCCCTTTATGCATGTAGCTTGTTTTGAGATGCAGTACTTTGTCTGCTTGCATGTATCAAAAATCTGTCTTTGTATCCTTCAAGGTGGTATTTTCGTATTTTAATAAGCTTATGCTTAATTTCATGTCTTGTTAATTGCATTTATCAAAGATTCAGCTTCCTAATTTTGTGTAAGCTTTGAAATTGTTGATTGCAGTTGTATTCTTTATTAATAGCTTTCGTTCATTATTCCTTCAGGTGCCCATAATGGGATTTGTTTTGCGCAGGCAAGCCAACATATATCCAGACTCTGCTTGTCTTTAGTGCAGCAACAAACAATCAACAATCAATTTATTAGTGTCAGCCATACGAAGAGGTTGCCCTGGGTATCCGGCCAGGGGCTCATGTATAAAATGCATGACAAAGATAATGATAAAATAAGAGAACAAACTAGTTGGATATCAGTCATATAAATAAAATTGAATAAAAGTGTAATAGTAAAATATGAAATATCTATAGATCTTATATATACATGTACACCAAGCCTAAACCTGTGACATCTCTCATTAGTGTTAATAAAACACAAATAATTTCCAGGTTACACTAGGCCTGGTATGCTTTTGCAAGCTAAAATTTATCAGCCTAAATGTTTGGCGCGGGTTGTCTCACATATTGAAAGGAGTCGTTGTACTCTCGCAAGCCAGTATCTTGCTAGCCAACATTTATATCGGCTTGAACTGATTGAAGTGGGCAGCACTACAAAGTGAGACATACTGTCAGGTATTGTCAGAAATTTTCAGAAACTGAAAGACTGCCTTGCGCTTGCAATCTACTTGCACTGTTTAAAATACTTAAACTGTGTTTACAGTCACCCTGCTGTTCCTTATCAAGATCAAAAGTTAGTACAGAAATCTCGGTTGAACCGGTCAAGGATTGGCTTTCATAACCATTTCATGAAAGCAAAGGAGTCCATATCGCATTGTAAGGAATGAAGTGTTGCTTTGGTTTGCACAAATGATCTGCTAATATTATAGATTTAGCCAAGCCTAAAAGCAGAGCCCCTGATTGCAATAACTGATGATAAAGGAAAAAGAGGATTATTTGGATCAGAAACTCAAAAAATGATCAATTGTGAGCATGTAATTGTTCAGCTTGTGGTTTTGCTATTTTTTCCAGTTAAATTCTAACAAACTATACCTAACAAGCCTAACCAAGATTGTAGAAATTACATACACAATATACCAGGGACTTTCCAAGAGACAATTGTACAAGGAATATGTCAGAAGAAAAGTCAACAACGCGCCAGGGGTTAATTTATGCCAAAATTTTGCCTTTGCAAGTACTCCTTCCTTCTCACCCAGAGAAATAACGTGACTTGAGCCCGTGATCCAATCTGTAACCAGTAACTGGTCAGTGGTCAACTTTAAAAAAATACGCAACCTCGATGAGCTCTAAACCTGAGCCTGCGATATAGTCACGTGATACTGCTCAGCGGATAGCTTGTTGTGACAGCTGTCAATTAATAATGGCGTGGACGCCCAAAATCAAAGATGTAGCTATGGTAATGGTGCTACTCTCTTAGTTTTCAAGGTATTAGTGTACAGATGTACTGTATGGACAGTCTCGTGACAACCAAAATTTTTCAGATCGATGAGTTACCAAATTTTATAAGGTATGGGGCTCCGCTCGCGTGCCTTCAGCGCACAGGAGCTCTGCTACAATGTCTATATTCCATTACTTATAGCTGTCAAAATTCAATTATGCCATAGGACACTAAGCCTACACATGTATGCAATGTGGAACTATTTTTAACTTGGAAAATAATATTATTTTCAAAGTTGTAGTGGTGAGAACAATGAAAATGTAATGAGGCCTGAGTGCTGTAATTCGAGAAGTTAAATGAACCAGTTTGTTACTGTTACAGACGATCCTGCGTTCTGTATGGGAACAACCCTGCTCTGCATTGACACTCCTTACATCCTTCATCCCTTCAGCAGCATTTTGTGCCATTTTGGTAAACTAGTTTTAATTTCTAAGATGAGAAAAGGTAACAAAGAGTGAAAAGAAAATCACCAATACTGGCTGGGAAAATAAAGAACAAAAAAAATGAGAGGAATAAAAATGAAAATTTTCACTTGCTTTGGTGATCGGACAAGAAGCAGTACTTTTGTTATAATTGTCTAGGTCTCTTGGACGAAGATAACTCGGTCTCTTGGACCAATAACTTCAGGAATGTTTTCAACAGTGTTACATCTCCTTGTGTATTCTCTTACTGTCACATTTTGCACTATTTCTAAACAATGCCAGTGGGCTATGGATTAAAGCCTCAAGTCAGTGGCGTCAAAATTGTCACTGTTTACAGACGATCCATTTTCCAAGTTGAGTGGCTCATAGCCACTTTGATTTAAAATGACATGCCGAACAGTCACTTTGATCTTAAGAATGCCATCAAACTGAACATGAAACTCTCTATCAATTTGTTCTAAAACTAGTCATGTTAGACAGCCAAAATACCTTTACTTTGATCTTATCTTTTTTTTTCAGTTATGTCTGCTCTTAATTGACACTGGTGTAGATTCAATTCTATTGTTGTCATTACCAGGTGATGCACTTTGTCCATGATATTCAGAAGCAGTGTAAGGACCTTCATTTATCTCACAGATGCCATGGGGTGGGTGGTACCCAGGGAACCAAAACAGCTGACAAGGGGTAAGGTTAAAACATACTACACTTGTCAAAATATAACAGTTTGTGTTATTATCACCTGCTTTGGGAGTGGGAAGGTGCACTAAGAGTCAAATGAGTCAGGATCAGTTTAGTAGATACCTGTATAATATATACACAAAGTACACAAAGAAACTTAGTCCTTAAAATTATAATGTTGTCTCTTGTTTTTAGTCCTTCACAGTCTAAAAGTGGTTTCTATGCTATTGCCTCTCAAATGAAGCTGTTGGTAGATACTCCAGAAAAGGTACTTTCATTGGTGTTAATGTTGTATTAAGTTATTTTTAACAATGTTTAGAGATTTATGTTAGATTTAGCTTGTTGTGGAAATTGTAAAAGGAAAGAATTTTAATGAAAGATAAAAAGTCTGAACAATGAACTTATTTGGTATACTAAGCACTTTTTGCTAATGATAAATTTTTGTTCTCAACAGGTATGGAGTGCATTGGAAAGAAAACAGTTTTTAAAAGCAGCTCAGTTGTACCTGTTCTCTCATCATATTGTTAGCATTCTTCACATTGATACTGGCGACACCTCTGCACCTAAACTACTGGTGGGTTCAGTTTTCTTCAAAGCATTATATAATTGTTGCTGTGGAGCGAGCGTAGTGAGCGAGCAGCAACATAATCAGAATTTAAGAAGAATATATAGAAGGGGGTACGAATTTTCGAATTCTTCACTTTTTACCAGAATGCATTGCATTTAACCAGAGTGCATTGCGCCACTTTTTACCAGAGGGCATTGCACCACAAACAACATGAGGATGTCACATTGTTGAGCTGTCCTCCTTTTTTGCGTGGATTTTTGTGGTTATGTTTTGCTCTGATTTACCTGTAAAACGCAACTGGCACCCGTTTTATGAAGCTTGGTTTGGTGTAGAAATTTTTGTAGAGCTCTACGACTCTATGCTTTCGTCATCAGTCTCCTCCTACATGTTGGAAAGATACATTACCTCCCACTTCATAGCTTTTACCGTGGTTGTGTATTGTTACTATGGTTACCTGCCTATTTGGTAACATTTGATTTCAAATTTTAGCATATTCCTCACATATATCTCATATACAGTATATTAAAGTGTTATTTAAGTGTTATTTATGGCTTACAGTGTTTTAGTCGTTTTCAATTTAAAATTCTGTATTGAGTTTACCCTCCACCATCTGCGCTCTACGCTTTACGGTTCTATGTACGGGTGTAGAGGCTTACAGTCATTGTAGCAAATATTAAAGTGCATGGGGAATGTTTAGTGTTGTTACGGTTTACAGTATTTTAATAATCTTTTTAATATACAATTCTGTATTGAGTTTACCCTCTACGCTCTACGCTCCATGCTATATGTTGCACCATCTACATTCTACTCTCTACGTTCTTCCAGCTACTCTCGTCAATCTATGCTCTACGATCTACCATCTATGCTGTAAGTCCATCTGTGTGCTACGTTCTACCAGCTACTCTCTTCGATCTACGCTCTACACTCTACCATCTACTGTCTATCCTCTAAGCCCATCTAGGCTCTACTCTCTACATTCTACCAGCTACTGTCTTTGACCTACACTCTACGCTCTACCCTTTAAGCCCATCTGCTTGGAAGGTTATTGGAATTTTGTAATAATGCCTTAATGTACATCTTATTGTCGTGTTGTTTTGGGGGCCGTGTGATTAGTGCTAACCATATGGCCCCCCAATGTATAAAAAAAGTTAAAAAATAAAAAAAAAATTAAAAAGATGAAAAAATTAAAGAAACACATATTTTTTGTTTGGAAGGGTGGCAAAGAAATCCTATTAGAGTTTCTTAGTTGTCTCTATAGCAAGAATGATTGTATCAAACTTACGTACTATGTTATTGACCAAAGTAGTATTTCGTTTTTCGATTTATTTCTTTACAAAGATGCTAATTTTAGCACTGCAGTTTTCTACCTATCAAAAGCCACTAAATAAGTATCTGTACTTTCCCTTTGAGTCATTTCGTCCCGTGAGCAACGAGAGGGCCTTTATTAGCCATTTTGGCTAGTGAAAATGAAAATTTGTGAGCACTGGAGGCCCAGAGGAAACCAATTAAAAGTTAATTTCAAATTTTTCTCAAATTGAAATTGAGTCAAAGCATACAGAATTTAAAACATCGGCTGTAATAAATATCATATATAATTCATTTGCCCAAACAACAACTAATGCGAAAGAATGATTGACTTTTTTGTTTGTTTGTAAAAAACGACGAACGACAAATGAACTGCTTGCCGCTAATGATTAGTTGTGTGAAATTGTGCGGAACTCTAGGGATCATGTTTTATGCGCGCAGCATCTGGAGGTCATGTATGCTTTCAAAAAATTAAAAAATTCGCAGTTGTTTGAAAATTTGAATGATGCCTATATAATATTGATGCTTATGTTTGCAACTTGTAAATTAAGTTAAGATGGAATGAATTGTTGTGTTCATGAGAAATCGTGAATCAACATTTTGAAAGAAAGGAATGTTTTTTGGCGGCAAGTTGTGAAGTACTGTGAGAATTTCTCACGGATGGCAGGTCTAAAACACAGCTCATGGGTCACTGGTTATTATTGTTTTTACCAATACTGAAACAACCTTAAACCTTTACTAATACTAACCTTAAGCCTAAACATTGTCTTAGTGTAGTATTTAGGCCTAAGGGTAGCATTAGGAAGGGGTTAGGGTTGTTCAGTATTGGTAAAACAATGACCCGTGACCTGTGTTTTAGACCCACTGTCTCCCGGAAGCGAAAACTTCGTTTTCGTTGTTGAGAGAGCGACTGAAATCGAGCCTAATTGTTGAGCGACGCCCATGATTATAACATTGATGCCTATGTTTGCAAATGTCTGTGTCTGGCTAGTGAAAAATTTTTTTTGGCTAACGAATCAAACCTGTCACTAGCCACTGGGCTAGCAAGCTGAAAAGTTAGTCTCGAGCCCTGCTCGTGGAGATGTTGTTTACTAGTTTTTAGTATAGAGTGCACTATTGGGATGGTTTAGGGGGCTGCTGTTCGGTAAGGCACTAAGGCTGAGGGAGCTCGTCAAACAACTGGATCAGCTGCCAACAAAGGAATCACATGTGGAGTTTCAATCCACCTTGGGCACCTCACTTTGGTAGGGTGCATGAGACAATGATCAAGTCAGCAAAGAGAGCAACCTATGCGATATTGGGAACTGCAGATGTGACCAATGAAGAACTGATGACAGCATTTACAGGTAAAGAGGCACTCATAAATTCTAGGCCTTTAACATATCAGTCTACCAATCCCTCAGATGACACACCCATCACCCCAAATCATTTCCTGATTGGACAAGTAGGGGGCCAGTTAGCTCCTGGATCAGTTGATAGTGGCAAATTCAGTCCCAAGAAGAGATGGAGACAGGTGCATGAACTAGTGCAACATTTTTGGCACTGGTGGCTGTGAGAGTGGCTACCAACTTTGAATCATAGGTTCAAGTGACGGAAGGAACAAAAAGATGTCCAAGTTAATGATGTAGTCTTGTTAGTGGCACGGGATACACTGCGTGGGCAGTGGCTGCTTGGTACAGTCGTAGCGGTCTTTCCAGAAAAGGGTAAGCACATGAGAGCTGTCAAAGTCAGAGTTGGCCGTAAGGAATTGTTGAGACTGATCACCAGAATCTGCTCAGTAGAACTCCTTACAGAAGATAGAACAATATCGCACTTTAAGAGAACTAGAATTATAGTGAACCTTTAAGCTAGAAACACACGAAACTCCTATTGATAGGTCAATGAGCCACTGGCCCATCAAGAAAGGGGAGTATGATGTGAAGGACATTTTGTTATAGTGTACTCGAAGTGCGAAAACTTAGGTCACGTGACTTCGAACGCCTAGTGGATCTTTTGCTGAATGATATACTCTCTATTATGCAAAATAAAATGGTTGTTGTTGTTGTTGTTGCAACCACGTGGAGATGTTCTTTACTAGTTTTTAGGGTTATTATTCGTCATAGAGATTACGGTTTATTTGAAGTTCAAATAAATGGTTTCACTAACATCAAGATGGTTATCCAGAGCCATTTAACAGACTTAGACTGTATCGTCAGTTATAAATCTACTACTACTTTAGCACATCTATGTAAATAGTATGTTTTTGGGGGCCATACATTTGGCGCTAATTGTATGGCCCCCAAAATATAACAATACGCAATAACATATGCATTAAGGCATTTCTTGTAACATCCATTTACAGCATGTTTCAGTAGTTATTCACTTCCATGGGAAGTTAAACTTAGGCACACTCATGTGCTATATATGCTGTTCAATGTTAGTTGTAATCATTCCCTGAAGAAGTCTCATACAGAGACAAAACGCGTCGGAAATAAACAAAAAAGCTTACAACTACAAGAAGTCTTTCCTTGTGCTGCTCACTAGCATTCGTTAAAAAATTACAAAATTACAAAATTCCAATAACCTTCCAAGCAGATGGGCTTAGAGGGTAGATCGTAGATCGTAGAGCATAGATCGAAGAGAGAAGCTGGTAGAATGTAGAGAGTGGAGTGTAGATGGGCTTAGAGGGTAGATGGTAGATGGTAAGATTGTAGAGCATAGATTGAAGAGAGTAGCTGGTGGAATGTAGCGAGTAGAGCATAGATGGGGTTAGAGGGTAGACGGGAGATGATAGAGCGTAGATTGAAGAGAGTAGCTGGTAGAACGTAGAGAGTAGATAGGCTTAGAGGGTAGATGGTAGATCGTAGAGCGTAGATTGAAGAGAGTAGCTGGTAGAACATAGAGACTGAGAGTAGAATGTAGATGGTAGAACATATAGTGTAGAGAGTAGAGGGTAAACTCAATACAGAATTGTATATTAAAAAGATTATTAAAATACTGTAAACCATAATGACACTGTAATAAGACTTTAATATTTATGAGATAATAAAGAAAGCCAATAAATTACAATTACAAAAATTACAACATCGCAGATGATCAAGAAACTTGCACTCGCAACCCAATATCCTTTTATCACTCTACTGGTTTTTTAAGCCTCTAAGCTATTGTAGAGAGTAGTCAAAAATTCTTGAGCTGATAAACTCATAAATGCATAGAGCGTAGAGCGTAGATGGTGGAACATGGAGTGTAAGAGCTTTAAGAGTGTAGCGCATTGACCATAGATGGAAGAACATGAAGAGCGTAGAGCGTAGTCAGGGTAAACTCAATACAAAATTGTAAATTGAAAATAATTAAAAACACTGCAAACCGCAATAACACTCAACATTCCCTAAGTGTGATATAATATTTGCTTTGATAATTATATGCCACTACACCTCTATGGTGTACGCATATCCGAGAGAAACGGAGCTTAAACATTCAAAATACTACTGTAGAGTCGTAGAGCTGTACGAAAATTTCTACGCCTAATCGAGCTTCATAAAGTGGGCTGGGTATAATAAAACGATGCGAAGGAGATCGTGCTTGACTTTCACAACTCTTGCTTTTGTTTTTAATGCAGTATGTGAAAGTTTGTTAATCTGGATGATTAATTGTGACATCTTAATTTTAAACTTAGTTTGTCATTTCTTAGCAGTCTTGCCTCCTTGGTCGAATTCTTAAATGAAGAGAAATCGTCATTACTTAAGCTTGTAGAATAATTAAAACAAACTAAAACCGTAGAACATGCTAATTTCATGTATGCTGCGATCTATTCCTTTTCATCCAAACATGAATTTAAGCCAAAGCTTTAACATTTTCACACATCGTGATGGACGCATCCTTGACACAGCCTGTCAACATTCTAGAGACATTTAATGCATACCAGTACAGAATTTATAAGATAGAATTCTGCTCCTACATTTTCCACATCTTCAATTTTCGCGTTCTGGTGAAGGGGAGGTTCATGTGTATCATTTTATGTCAAGCATAGTTCAGATCAGTATGTGCTTTTTTGTCACGAACCCTGGTCCCACCTCGCCAGCAATGCGTCATCATGCATGAAGTTGTAGATGAATCACTGTGTAAAATATGTCACTATCAACAGAATGTGCCACCGCATTACTATCTTTTAGAAACCCTAGTACTACTTAATAATGTCTTGGGTTATGTTATACCTTATTATAGGAAATTAACGCTTCATGAA